ATAACCTCATATTATACTATCCTTGATTGTACTTATCGTTTTGTGTGACCACTAATTGCTATAATTGTAAACATGTACTAAACATATTTGTATTATGATCCCTTGGGAGACAAAGTAGTTCTGAATAACTGTGACTCTCTAGGTCAAATAAAATGATTTATAATCCACACATAGCTAGGCAAGGTGTGTCCGATTCCAGCCAATCCGAACAAAGTATTCACATAATGAACAGTGTGTGAAATATCAATAACACACGCAAGGTCACTATAGTTAAACAGTTATCAAGGTGATGAATGGACTTTTCACATTGGACTTGATGACTTGCCAACTTGACCATTGCAAAATATTTCCATCAAAAGTGTTATTTTAGTGATTTCGTTCCTTTTAGATGATTTTATAGAAAAAATTGCAATGTGTGAAAATAATTTAAGCCCAAGACTCAATGCATTGTAGCTGCTTCATTCCACTCGGGTGTTGTTGCCTAAGCTTTGCATTCCCGCTGCGCGGTCATGCAAAGGGTTGGAAACAACACCTTCATGGTATGATTCAGCAAACAATACACTATAAAGTTCAGGGATTAAATCCTTTAATACTATCCTACAAAATAGATACATAACCATTATGTAACGTTATTTTTGCAATAACCTTAACTTTCATCTATTTATATGGAACGGGCCTTTCTAAAATTGTCATCAATTATATAATTTTCACCATGGTCATGTGTCGTTAAGTATCATACTAAATACTACGAGATATATTTGCGTCTAAGATAGAGACACCGTTATAGAGTTAATTTGATTCATAAATAATGATCGAGTAAATTGTTATCCTGGTTGTCACAGAAGCAAGCATGTTCTTCATCTGGAACTCTTTTAAAATTCTATTTTATATGAGTAGTTTATCAATTTAAGACCCCTAAATTTACCCCACGGCTGGTCTAGTAATAGCTCGGAGGAGCAACGTCTCATATTCTCCTTCCAAAGGTCCATGCGCACTATGGCAAGTGATTTTAGACAGCCCTATCTTTCACCATACACTCCCCTCCATAGGTTTGGCAACCTTGGCTCCCCCATTGAACTACGTGTTAAAGCCCCTTTACGTTTGAATTTTTATTTACTTAACCGTCGATGAAATATTTATAATATTAATGGAAACGTATAACTTGACTTTATTTCCAGTACCTCCAAATGTTCTCAATTTTTTCCCTCAATTACAATAGGTCGGAAATTGATGATAAAATTGAAGAATTTAAAAAAATCGTCATTCCCATGTAATCCAATGGGAAATGGTAGGTATGCCGCAAGTCATATGGCAGAGTATCCATCCATCCGAGTCCTTGCAAAAATACGAGTTAGGCAGGCAATTGAATTTGCTAACTTCATTCAACAAAAATTGATATGTTTCTTCAGGTTCAAAAAAAGTTATAGGGCTTTAAAGTCAATTATTTTTTTCAAAAAAAACCTCTCATTGAAATAACACAGGAGTCGAAAAATTATTTTAAAAAATGACTTTGAAGCGCTGTAACTTTAGTATTCATCAAATAAACTAAACACCTAGTGTGAAAAAAGTTAGACAATTCAATTTTCTATATAAAAATATATTTTGCTGAATCTTTTACTGAAAAGATATCATGATTTCTGCTTTGCTCCGTGTCTTCCATTTCCCATTGGATTACATGGGAATGACGATATTTAAAAATTCGTCAAATTTGTCATCAATTTTCGACCTATTGTTATGGAGGAAAAAATTGAGAACATTTGGAGGTTTTAACACGTAGTTCAATGGGGGAGCTAAGGTTGCCAAACTTATGGACGGGAGTGTAAGTCTTTTCTGGATATAAATACAGTGGTTTTTATTAAAACAATATGTTTTCTTTTAAAGTGAAGTACCCATGGTAGTAAAATATCAATCCAACTCTCTGACAAATTGTGGATTGGTATCCAACCTTGTCACTTTTAAAAAAAATGTAAGGCTTATTTTCTAAAAAAGAGGATCTTGTTTTTCCCAATTTATATACATCAAAAGTTTCTTCTACACTATATTAATAACTTTTCGATGCTATTTCTCGATGCTATTTTACGAGTACATTTCAACTATGATATCACTTTGACTAAATTTTCAATTTTATGATTACGACTCGTATATCTTATATATCGGTTACTGTTTTATGGAAATTCGAACTATTTTAAAGTATTTTAATAAGTAGCGTGTATCAACCCAGTTCTGCGTCAGATGCCAAATTACCGCATTTACTATTTACATTCAGTAATTGTTTGTAGTATCTACTGTGCAATATTTATTTATTCATTAGCACTTTCAGATGAAAATCGAATAGGCCTCTGGTGTTGATGAATTTGGCTATGACATTGCTCATACAAGTTCATTGTATCAAGCTGTGTCGAACGTTTGATGACGTTTTGTTTTTGCATACTTTTTGTAAAATCAACCAAAATTTTCTTTGTATAACTGTAATATTGAGAGGTCTAAGAAAATGTTGTATATGTTATTTTGTTCCAACAAGGTTCGCAAAGACATTTTATTTCAATCTCAAGAATTGGTAGAAAGGAACAAGAAACAATTGCACTAAAAAACAAAAAAATGTTAACAAAAACAGTTATATAAATATATATCAATAATTTTTGCATTAAATTGTTGTCAATCAGTCACCATTACATAAAGGACCGTGTTTTTACAGAATGTTTTCAATGATTGGTTTAAGAGAAAAACATTATTGAATTCAGTTCACCATATCGATACCTATCCTTTATCGACATCGTTTGAAACCTCTCACATGAAGGCCTTAAACATGTGTTTTTGGATCGAGTGGACAGATTTAGGAAGTGCATTGCAACTGGGGTTGAATATTTTGAGTGAGAATGAATATTTAGAAAAACTAATTAAACATGATTAAACTACAGTCTGTTGATAGATGACACTACTTAAAGGGACCCAACACCTTACAAAACTTCTTAACGGAGAGGAATAAGGGAAAATGCTTGCCGGATTCTGAATCTGTGTATTTTTTAATGATTTTTCACCGTCTTAGAATTTCAATTTTTTTCTTTTGAAAAAATGAGATTTGCGTTGTTTTCCAATTAGAAAAATGAGTAAACATGTATAGCTCGAAATCTAACGGTGAGATTTTGTTTTAAAAAATCATGGATATCAAGGCTAAATATAGCTATACAATAAACATAAAAAAGCAATGCTTGGACTCTTCATATTCACACAAAAAATTAATTAGTAAATGAGGTTTGATATTTGTGAGAATAAGTTGTACGAGTCGCAATGCTCTACAAACACCAGACTACAGGGTGGGTTAGGATCAATGACACACATAAAAATTAATTTAAAAATATTTCATGATAATTATCTCAAACAAAAGCAGATAGCGAAGGATACATATCATTACACTCAATAAATAGTTATCACTTTTGACTATATATACATATCTCATGGGAATGTATTTCCATCTGCTCAAGATATCATATTTTAGCTTCGAAAATCACAATCGTTGGATAATACATTTGTCTCAGAATGATAGGCCACCCTGTAGCAATGTAGCTTTCACTTGAAGTGTACCCTTGAGAATAATGAACTTACTTTCAAATTGGTCTTGCTTTTGTGGTGTATGTGGCTTTTTAGCAAATCTGCCACGCTCATTTCTTTCCAGAACCATCTTGTTCACATGTAACACTAGGCTATACGCGCATGTATAGACAGATGACATAGATATACATATAAATTATATATTGCACCTGTATTTACTTACATGGGAATATTCCCTTTGGAAAAATGCAAATGCATGAACATATATTTTCATCTTATATATGACTTCAAGCTAACATATTATTTCATATTTATATTTTCATAGTTAGTCTAACATAAATAATAGATCCATGAGAACAATTTCTTTGTTTTCTTAAAAATTGATGGGTTTACTGTGAACTCAATAAATTACAATTTGCAAGGGGTAAGTTAGTATACTGTATGACCTTAGTTGCAAAGTACTGTTTATATATGCAGCTCAATAGCATAAAATATGTTGAATGAAGCATATGGTATGGATTAGTCGTGTGACACACAAACTGACCAATACATGAGGGTATTAGCTACTTTTCACAGAAACCAAAGGAGGACAGTGCTTTTATTTCAACTGGGAGCTTACCTCCCCACGACTGATCATGTGACCATGGTGGTGGGTCCCTTTAATGTTAGAAATTTCCAAAACTTCAGCTTAGCACATTTTTTTTTATAAAAAACGCTGCTCTAGTCTTGCTCAAAGACTGTATTCACCCCCGTCACCTTCACTTTCTTTACCTGGCAATAGAGAGAAGGATATAGGGGGGGGGGGGGGTACAGGGTATTTTAAGCAAGACTAACGCTGCGCCACCTAATTCAATCATTGAAAATATGTATTGACTCTGTGTCACTACCAATGAGCCAATTTAAATGAAACTCAGACAGCCTCAAGCAAGCTTACTACCCTGTCTCATGTAAATGGCATCCAACTCCTCTTCTAGAGCCAACGGTACAATCGACCGTCTTATATTGAATTTCATATTTCAAACATTATATTTATCGTTAAGGCATTTATGATTGACCTTTTTGGTTTAAATCTGCTTACCTAAGTCTGTATTTGTCTTATCATAGCCAGCAAAATTAATGTTAAATGTCATTTCTGAATGTTTTTTAAAGTTTTACAACTGATTACTTTTTTATCTTTTGCTTTTGCGATCGCACCAATCCGACCCCCCTCCGGTTACGCCCATGACATGAACTCTTACAATGGTTTAAGGACACCATTAAAGACTAATTTACGGCTACGGATTGTGTAATAATTAGTGATGCAATTATTCCATATTAGGATAGAAAGCGGACTTGACGTAGCCTATTCATATACCTGCTACAGCAGCTATATAAGAGACTGAAGAGAGAATAGCCTTGTTCAGTATTAGCTATTGCAGTCGAGCGATTGTGTGGTTATTGTTATTGATAACATGATTGATAGTGACGGTCATAATATGCCACTTGAGCAAAACAACACTGTAAATGCTGCTGCGTCTCTTTTAGCCGAATCGACAAATTTTGACCCGATTGGGCACACATTAATTGGAATATATCTAACAGTAATGGCAGTATTAGGGGTTACTGGAAATACGTTAGTTTTAGTGACATTCTGGCGAAAACGGGAGCTTCTTTCGCCGACGTATGCTATCGTATTAGCACTAACAATTTGCGATCTTATCATGTCTGTAGCAGGTACACCATTTTCAGCAGCTTCTAGTCTCGCTCAAGGATGGCTGTTTGGGTCTATTGGATGCAAATGGGAAGCGTTTATAACTTTCTTTTTAGGTTTAGCTGGACTTTACCTGCTTGCTGCGATCTCAGTTGATCGTTATATTATCATACTGAAGCCATGCTCAATCAACTGTGTAAGTAAATGCACACTTTTATTGTTAATTCAGTTAAAACATCAAATAATAAAAGTCTAATTTGTAAAAAAATTCAAAAAATACACATCAGGCACACTTGATCTACAGTAACCGTACGGCGGCCGTAGCTTCCCAAAATCGAAAGAATAAATATACAGCGTGAAATATAGGGATAAGCACGAAAGCAGATGTGAGGCTAAAGGCTTAATTTTTTTCTCAGAACCTGGCCCATAGTTAGCTTTCGCCGCTTTCTAATCCAGATGGGTTAGAATTTGTCACTGTTGGCCAAAAATCACATATGTTTGCTTTGTTTGAAAAAATATTTCTCTAGGGAGGGGGAGAGGGTTCTTCTTTTGATCGATCTTGCCTATCTAGGATCGTCACGCTTACAATGTAAATGAAACACCTATAGAACCAGTTAATAGCAATACCCGTGTTATAAGTCACCACATTAATAATGGTTTCCCAACTAATTAAATAAGAATTCATTCATAGAATTGTAGGTTAATTCGTCAGCCGACAGTTCGTGATTGCTACCTCAATCGAAGGTACTCTAATATCGGCAATAAGATGGAACAAAGCAAGTCAATTTTCAATTATGTATTTTGATATTAGTATACATATAATATTGCTTTGTTGTTTTACATATAAGTGGTAACAGGATTATGATGATACCTCTTTCCAAATTCTACACATTTTTTCTAATTCTCCCCTTCCCCCAATTTTTTCAATTTCACTAATTTGACTTACAGTATATTTCGTTGCTTTGTGGTTGCTCGGTTAAACCACGGACCGAAATAGGTTTGAATAATAACAAGTCAAAGTTTCCCCATTACTAAAATGTTGATTGGTATATGCAGCATTTCTTGCAATATGAATTTCAGAATACCAAAACAAGTTGAACTTGAAATTGTTGATTATCCAATTATGCGTTCGATTGATATCAATGGGTTTTTCGCAATAGCTGCTATCTTTGATAGTGTATAACTTCAGTTCTTGAAAACCTTAACCTTGACTTTTGTCTAATCTGGAAGATTATAGATCATTTTTTAGGATATTTAACAGTTTTGGCATAAAAACATTTTTTAGAATGAAAATTAGCAACCCCCCCCCCCCTTTGAAAGTGCGACTTAGTATTATAAAAAAAGGTTGCAGATATTTCGATTAAAACTCATTAAAATGAAGAAGAGAATGACCTGTCTTTAGGTTAACTATTAATTGAAAAACATGCGTAGTTCTATGAATAAATTACACATGCACATTTACAAGCACTGAGTAAATCAATTACTACGTAATGTAGTTACAATCGTGAAATGTCATCTTTTGTCTACAGCCCTGTGTTAAGTGTATAAAGCGATCTAGTAATGAATAACAGGAAAATGAATAATGATCATAATTAAATTATATACAATACTATACAATCGTATCGGGTCGTTGTTCGGAAAAGTCCTTTAGGGAGCATCTCAAAAGTTCAATGCAGCACTACTTACGGTTGATGAACAGCAATTAGAGAGTTTAAGCTTGCAATGTTTCTTACAACGTAACCGTGAACGGAAAGCGCTTGGAACAATATAGAAATAAGTCGAACACACATAGTTTTCATGCGCTTTATTCTACTTTAGATACCCGTTCAGCTTCAGAGTTTCTTGTTTAGACAAGGGCGTTACAATACCCGGGAATTTATCGGTTCGTGCAGTACTTGTTTGTGATAGCGCCCTCTGTAGGTCACTGTGCTTATAGCCTACAGATTATATTGGATAATCACATTTATGCGTGCGCGCGCAGCTCATCCACTGAACGAAACGCCACTTCCCGCTGAAATCACCGGGTATTGATCTTTCCCTTGGTTTAGAACGGGAAATTAGAAACTCCACGTTGGTGTCAACAGGAATCATTATACTCGTGTTTGTTGAGTACCATGCTGGTAATTTTGATTTCGATACACAGTAGAATTATTTCTTGAGAAAAAGATGCATGCCACGCATGTTTTAGCATGTAATATGTGAAACGTATTGAAACATGTTAAAAATGGTCTTAAGGTAGAATCACTCAATTCATATACTAGTACTTGTTCCTCAGCCACTATATGTATGTCGAAGTATTAATGGTTCTCATTTCTTTTCTCGTTGCTTTTAAGTCTATCAGCATAATACTATAGTAAATATGCAAAAAGGGCAAATTTTAAGACACACCAAAGCCTGATACATTTAAAAATGATTTAATTTAATTGTATATTGTTGACTGTTTCCTTAAAGGGTCACTGTGCATAGTTTTGAAAAAAGGATCGAATAATCATTAAAACACGTTACCCACACACTCAATCAGATAGGATAAAACGTTTGATTTGCATTAATATATAAGCAAAAACATCACATTGAAAACGGCATTTAAAGTTTAGGGATCGTTACTAAGTGTATGTTTTAAATATATCTTGATTGAAAAGATGGCGACACCTCTTTCAAAAATGAATAAGTCATGACCTAAAAAGATTTTCGCCATTGTTCATTAAAATTCCTAAAAAACTGATATAAAATTATAAATCTCTGATATTGGGCTGTTTCGGTGTCCAATGCTACACGCACAGAGTCCCTTTAATTCTTTTTCATTGATATCAATTGCACTCGCAATAAAGAAAAGAGATAACAAAATGCTTGAAGAGATATTTCCAAAAGCAAAACAATGTTTCCATTAGAGGTTTATCTTAATGTTTGATAAAATATATCTTATCCACTGTACTATCTTGAGCTCTTTGGCCTGCAGTTACTAGGCAACCGTCTGGAACCTAAGATGTACAACAGACCATCTGACCACGTGCTTGAGATCTTGAAAGTTAGATACCAAATAGAAAAAAACAAGAACTACTTATACTGTATTTATTCAGCCTCGTATACATCTATACATATACTTATGAATCATTACATCTACTACAGTTTCAATATATAAGACATTGATAAGTTTATTTTTATTATTGACTGTATTACTAGCAACTTTCTTTTTATATTTATCTCCGTTTTCACTTCCATTAAATTAATATTTATTAACATGCCAGTTCAAAATCGTGTAAACCCTTTAGTCAGCTTGACACATTGACCTATTTTCATTATTCCTCATAAAATATTACTACGCCCCTGCAGCACATTATTTGTCGGTTTTCAGTCAGGGGGATGCGATTGTGGCGTAAACAAGCCAAAAATAAGATTTATTTTACAAAAATTTATGCAAAATCGATCGCACACATCGCACTCCCCCCGGCTTTTCATGTATACATTTAATCGTCAGATCGGGCCATCCGTATTGTCCATTCATTTTTGCAACTGAAAAAGGCCAATCGAAGTTTGGAGCAAACTATCTTAAAGTCACCCCCACGTTGTATGTCTAAATGCCTCACAATTCCTTTGTTATTGATTAGGCTTGTATGCGTAAATACCACGTCCGGCTGTCGGCTACCGGATTTACTTAGTATTTTATGACCAAGACATTAAGATATGAATAGAATAGTGGTGGGTACTATTCATATATTAATGGATTGCCCATAAAATAGTAGTTTAATCCGGTAGCCGTCAGCTGTTAGTTGCATTCCTGAATACAATCACGGACTCAGAACTAAATTGTTGAAATGGTAGAATGAATGTCACTACAAGGGGAGACCGGTTTGAAATATTAACATTGGTTCAGGTGGAATAGTCGAATATAAATTGCTATTTACACTTGCATTTCTATAAACTTCGATCCATCTAACAAACGAGCTTAGATGAATCGAATGGGGTTAATCTAAGATTAAAAATAATGCCATTTGACATGGAAGAATTGACATTCATATTTTCTCTTTTCAGTTGACATACAGAGGAGCGTATCTTATGATAGCGTTCTGTGTCGTCATTTCACTGTTATTCTCACTAATGCCCCTGACCGGTTGGAATTCGTATACGCTAGAGGCAGCAAACACTTCGTGCAGTGTAAACTGGAAGGGAAGAACCCCGGGAGATACTTCTTTTATTATCACGATATTTCTGGCTTGCTTTGTGCTTCCCGTTGCTGTCATGGTTTGTTGCTACACATTTCTTTTTATTAAAGTAAGTATAAGAGGGGGAGATAAGTCACAGTTAATAGTAAACCTTGTCTTGTATCTGTTTCGTTTGATGTATACAATGGAGAGGTTAAGCTTTGCATATATAATCGAAACTGAACCTGTACGTATCACTCGACCATATACAAATTCATGTAGCCTTCTCATATAAATAGCCGTTCAAATCCAGTGTTTGTTTAGACTACACCATAGCGTGTAATGATTCTATAGTATGTCATTGATGCGGTTTTATAGCTGGTTTTCTAATACATATTTTAAACGAGCTCGTTTCGTAAGATTTTTGGCGCTAAATCATGCATGACATACATCATCGTGTTCAGCAAGAATTCAACTGTGCATCGAAATCAAAATTGACAGCATAGTGTTCAATAGACACGAGTAAAATGGTTCCCGTTGACCCAACGTCAAATTTCAAATTATCCCGTTCTAAACCCGAAACTCTGATGCTGAAAGAGTATCTGAAGTAGACTAAGCGCGCATTAAACTACGAGCGCTCGATACATTCCTTTGTTAATGTTTGTACTTTGCGTTCACGGTTACGTTGTGAAAAACATCGTTAGCTTAACCTCTCCAATATCTGAATACTAGTGATAAATCGTTGTGATATCCTTTACACTTTAACTTGTCATTATGTTGATTTCAAATAACAAGTCGTAACGTACCAATTAATTACTTTAATTAGAATTTTTGAAAATCTTAAATCGTCCATTTGTTTTTCTTAGCGATATGATCAATAAACATTTTGAAACTTTGCTTCACTAAGCAAAGAGCTTGTCTTTTGGCTTGAAAATGGGCACTTTGAGAGGTAACAAATCGCTTTTAAAACGAACAAATAGGAACAAATATTTGATTGCTCGGCCCGGAAACCAATGGGGTTTTCTCATTTGAATAATCACGTGAGCCATACACTATTATGGGGGATTTCCGAAGCAGGGTGACACGCATTAGCAGAAAACAGAATCGCCACTTGAATTACATTTCCCTGTTTATTCTGTCCGTATCAACCCTTTTTTACATGTCATATATTTAAGTTAATCAATTATGTAGCTCATGATGTGAACAAATTCCAATGCTATAGTATACAAATAGTGACTGCCATTGAGGGAGATAGTGCAAAATATTTTCCTCAAGGGAATATCCTGTCCACTGACATGTTCCCGAGGCTGCAGGCCCAGGGAACAAGTCAGTTGACAGGATATTCTCGAGAGGAAAATTTTTACACTATTTCCTGAAAATGTGGCAGTCACTATTTGTTTTATTATATACCTGATAAGTAATCTGTAAACAATAACAAAATGAGAAGTCTTTTCATTTCAATATCAAATGTTCACAGGTTCTTATTGGCATTTAAAGGCATTTTACCTTTCAACTCCTATAATCTCAGATTTGGGGGAAGATAAAACGTACTATTGACTGGTCACATGACCTAACTGGTGATTAGTACAATTCATCTTCCCTGAAAGCAGGGATTTATGACTTTCCAGGGAATTAGTTCATATATTCCATGTCATGTGACCATGAATAAGCTAATGAGCATCTAGAATACATTTGAGGTATATAATAAAGTAAAATAACCGCAAAACGGTACAGAAAAGGGTACCAAGGTCTGAGAAAACTGACCCCTCAATACACCATTGTCCAATGAAGACCAAACAAAGTCCCGGATGTCGTGCCGTTTCTCGTTTCGTTTGGTACACAACAAGTGTATTAAATAAGCCCTTGTCTCAATGAGTAAAATTATGTTACTGGTATATCACACTTAGCGCATGCGCGAGATAATTGACTTTCCTCCAAGGCCCTTTTGAGTAAATCGACTGCAACTTTGAAAGCTTAGAACGTCTCGAGTTATGAATTTATTGATATTGTTATTCCCTCATCAGGTCCAATGGTAAATTAGTGAAGTACATGATAAAAACTATATACCTGTACAAGGAAACACATAAATAATATCATACTGTATGTCTAAATACAGGGCACAACATTTGAAAGTATCTACATATGACACAACACACAGTGGAAATAACAGTTAACTTTTTTTTGTTGCATATCAATGTCAAAAGAAGTAACATATATTCAAAGTGAAATTATACGCGCCCTGTACAGAGGATTTAAGCTAAGTTCACACCAACGGCGCTTTGATGGCGCTTTAGTGAGTCTATTTTATGTCCGGAGAAAGATGTAGGAATATAATTATGTAGAATGCATGTACGTTCAGAAATATGGAAATAAACCCACGTCCTCCATGTATCTTGTACCTCTTTTAAAAGTCGTCACGTGGCAGGGTACATTCTAAATTGTTATTGGTTAGGATAAGGGTTCTTAAACAGGAAGTGTTAGTGTTATATCTAGCCTCGTCCTTCTTTAAAATGTGTTTGACTCTCAAATGTGATAAGAAATAGTGCTTTGATGATATCGGCGTCTTCTGGATTTACAATATTGCATTATATTATATTATATTGTTGATATATTATATACTGACCTATATACTATTTTTCTGACAAGACACACAGTTACATGTAGTTAACTATATTACTTGTATTTTTTTTCATTCCAAGGTTCGTGAAGTTACCCAAATTCTAGCAAATGGACCGGGATCGAACAGGAAGGTGACAAATCACAAAAATGCAATGGAGATGAAACTGGCTTGGATGATAGGAGTTATGCTTGGTAATGACCTTTCTGTTGATAAGCAATGTAGAATGATGGGAGGTTAAGGCACACGTTTTAAGATAACGTGTATAGTGTGAACGTGTAGAATTATGTTCTTGGCCTTTTTACCCATTCGGATAACAGAAAAATTGCAATAACGATTGGAAATGCATGAGGGGAGGGATATTACACTATCTAGTGTAAACGTCCTCTTAAAACGTGTACCTTAACCTTCAAAAACGTGTACTTCTAGCTATGTTATTAGGGAAAGTAGTCCCTTGAGACTCAGTACTTTATAGTAAATTGAATTCTTATGTTAGTGCACTCTATCACTTTTTGCATGATTGATTCTTCAGTCCTCTAATTCACATCATTACCATGATCGACAAGTATCTGCTCTCAAACGTTCCTCAACCAATCTCAAATTATCGCAATCAAGAAAAATAACCCTTAACAACTACGCAATACACAAATTAATCAGATTAGCCTATATAGGTATCGAAAGGATACAAATCATTCAAAAGCAGATTATTCAAAGGAGAAAGCCTCATTTTGGAACAATCAATGTCAGTCTAGTCAATCAAATAAATTGATCATGGTCAGTAATCTCCTTTCGAACTCATGCAGACTAATAATAATAGTCAGAAAATAAACTTGGGAAAAGTGGATTGCTTTATATCTCAATATACAATATGCTAGTAAATAATGTTTATTTAAGTCGTTAAATATTCAAAATTTTGTCGAAGTGATATAACATTTGAAATCTACATGTAAAAGTACATCAAGAAATGTGGTTTCAAATTGTTTGTCAACCTTTTTTGAAATGTGACTTCTAGTTCGGCGAGGTTCCCATAGACCCCGTGTTATAAAATCACAAAAAGTGAAATATCTTTCTTTGTATTTGACAGATATTGCCAGCTCATATTTTCTTTTACCGGACATATTTTGATTTGCATAACTATTAAATGGAAAGAAATTATGATCCCCCAGGGATAATGGTCCCCCTTCTCAACGCCCCTTACTGGCCCTGATTGTGTATTAGATAATAAGGGAAAGAGGTCACTATATAAATCAATGGACAGTAGGACCATCATTTGATAGGACCTCCTGCCCTTTTACACCGTTCAAAGGTAGCACTGGCACTACACTCTTCAAACTAGTAACCGAAACAAAATGTCGGAACCTCAAAGGTACGATTTTTCTTTTTTCCTTATTTAACTAACAAATAGTTCAGAAGACAACAAAGCCGTCGAAACTGCTTTGTAGAATATTGCAATACACTGTTAATAATTCATTACATCCTTAAAGCTTACTCAAGTCTAAACAGGAGCCAGAAGTTTTACAAGCTGTTGTCTTCACACAGTTTTTATAGTTAGGTGATTTGTGTCTTAGCCAAAAAACTCAGTTTTCTAGAAGTCTAATGTTTTCTAGTGTAATGATTTGAAGCCAGTTTTGAAACATGAGTGTAATAGGTACTTACGATGCAAAATCAGTTCATCATCAGTTCAAGATTTATTGGACGATATCCTCTTTATTGATGTTGATCGTAAAACCGCAGTTCACAGCTATAATAGTTTTGATCAAAAATGAGGTTTTGAATAAAAAATCTCTAGATTGTAGCTAGTTGTTCAGTATCGACTTTTTTATACGGAAAATCCGAGAATGACGTGAATAACGCACACCTAAAATGATTGTTTTTATACAATCGTTCCAAGTGCGTATGAAAATGATGCCCGGCTGGCTTGAGGTATATATGCATCCGTCAAGTTAGTTGACCCGCGGCTCCAACTTGGAACAGACGAAAAATAGGCAGGGGGTCCTATTAATTTATGGTCCTACTCTCCATTGATTAATATGGTGGCCTCTTACCTTTAATATCTTATACACAATTAGGGCCAGTAAGGGCATTTAGAAAGGGGGACCATAATCCCCAGGTGAGCATAATTTCTTTCACACCGGGAATACGATGAATATTCAGCTCAGAAAAGATTAAAATGATGTGTCTTTATATTTATCGTCAGAATATCATGGTATTCGCATCTAAAAAGGTAGCCTAACCTTCAAGGATTTACTCTGTCTTAAACAAATAATTAGCGAACTAGAAACAAATTAATTTATCATAAGGGATTAATATGACTTTCCAACAGAGACAGGCCTTTAAAATCCGGTCAATGAAGCTTACATGACTTCGCAAAGTCGGCTTCTAAAGTTTTTAATTTTAATTAAATGATTAATTCGTAGAAGCCGACTTTGCATGGCTTCTCAAAGCCGGCTTTTAAGGTACTATAGAAGCCAGCTTTCTACATTTGCCGATCCTTTCTTATTCAATGTGTTCCCAATACTGGTAGTAGTATATATGTATAAAAATAATAATACCTTATGTATCGTTCGTTGTGTTCTCATGCGGACGATTTCAGAAGCATGCTCTAAGTTTCGTTTCGGTTTCCTATTTACCAGGCTTCATTATTCCTAAAAGGATTCTGAAAGCCTCCTCGCTTATAGACGAATTCATTAAACGCAGCCTTTGGAACTACCCCATTGAAACAATGAAAATTCATTAACTCCCTAAAGGCAAGTAGATCCTAATAAATCATTCTCAAATTCGTATGGGTCATTGAACTTTTCCTATCATCACCTTACCAATTTTCAAAATTGTCCCTGTGGTTAAGATATCTCCAGCTTTTTCTTTGATTGCCCCCTTTATATTGCCCAACGTATCACCCTAATGGGGGACATCGGGATCACTGGCCATCGGAACTTTTCCAAACATTTGAAACTCCGTAATACATGGCAGTGATGACACATCTTTTGATGATTATTTAATCACTCGAGGGCAGAAGGTGATTGAACACACTCAGATATTCATCTGACACACTTAAATCATATCTGACATATTCGATATTAGTTACATATTCATTACGGCCCGCCGTATACTACTGCCTGTCGTTATGATGTCACATATTACTCATATTACCAGGTGTTGTATCGACGAATAGATACCGGGTGGAATGTTAAATTTGTTCACAGTTTAAAAAAGGTGTGAATATACGCAGTTATGTTCGATTTTATACTGTAGAACCCTAGATAGAGTGTTATAATATTATGCTGTTAATTTCTAGGTAACATTAAAATGATTAAAAATGTGTCAATTCTGGCGATTATGAACGCTGACATACGAAACGAAACGCAACTCTGCGCATCCTTTCGAAGTTGTCCGTTGCTTTCCAAAATTATACTTCCACATTCGAACAACCAAACGATGCACAATGTACATTTCATTATGGTAGCGAATTTTACTCATGTCCTATTCGCCGGTATTTAATCACTATACATACGATTCTCCATTTCAGGTGCCTATCTTGTATCATGGACGCCATACGCCATTGTGTCTTTATGGGCAGCAATAGGTGATCCAGATAGCATTCCAGTATTAGCCGCGTTGCTACCAGCGGTGCTTGCTAAGTCAGCGACAGTTTGGAACCCCATTATATACGTTGGAATGAACAAGAAATTCCGACAAGCTCTTGGGAATGTTTTACCCTGTATGTGCCTCACTCAGGTCATAGCCCCTGTAGTTTCAGCGCCAAGTGAAGATGCTAATAAGACTATTGTTGGAGAGTTAAAACGGACTAGTAAAATAAGCGGTGCCATCACAACAAAAACGCCTATTCTCAAAACGCCAAAAGCTCAACAAAAATAGCTAATACACAGAAAATAATGAGAATGCGCTTTAAAATATATACATCGGTAGACTATATTACGACCAATAACTTCATTCCATTTTCAGGACTGTAAAATGGAGTGGGTTTTAAAACACGTGTTTGCAATAATTTCTAGTTTATCAAAACCGATGTAAATTGAATAGGCTACGAGATTGGTTTTAAAATCCAATGTGTAAATGCCAAAGGAAAATGTAACATCAGATCAAACAAAAATAGGTGAACAGGACATTATTCCTCGTATTTGATACTGTTTAACCTCCTCAAAGATTATCTTGCTATTTTGCTCAAAATGTTTCTTGTCTAGAATCTAGTATAGTTAAGATAATTGATATATTTTAAGCCTAGCGAGAGTGCAATTGAGGATGTGACTAGAGAACACAGAACAGTATTGCCAGGACGTGGCAAATCACAATTAACATTTATCGAGTGTCGTGCTTCGACATTCTTGCAGGAAAAAAATTAAAAACGGCCGCCATTTTGTAGAGTAGTTGCCAATTTTCCAAATGTTCAGTGTTATTGCTTGCGAGTATTCAGAGTAAACATTTTAATGAAATTTTTTTTTTTTTTTTTTTTTCCAAAATAATAGAAAGTACAATTTTCCCCAAAGAATGGATAGTGGGGTTACAAATAAAGGTTTGCCTAAGACTGCGGCATGAACACCTCATTCTTTTAATTTTTGTATATATGATTTAATATTTTTAATTTCATAGGCTGACTTTTCATAAATACATAGGTGTGCGATTGAATAATATAATGTGTTCCTCCATAATCTTGGACTATTTTTTTCTTTGCTAATGAGCCATGATTTATAGCTGTTATATGCAAATGTTGATATTATTAGATCAATGACATTTTCATGACTTCTTTTAAAAATAATATTATTGCCAATAACAATATTTTTCCATGAAATTTTAATTTTTAATTTTGAGGAAATATAGATCCACAAGTCTTTTATTTGATCGCACTCTATAATAATGTGTTTTAAATTATTTTCAACCTTACAAAAATTGCAAATTTTTGAATCTGCCTTTTTCCACTTAAAAAGATCTATGGAAGATGGAAGAACATTATGAAATAATTTGAAGTTAAAGTAAGCTACTTTTTTTATCAACAATTGCTATAATCTTGTTATTAAAATACATTTTCCAATTTATGTGAAATTTAAAATCAATCTTCCATTTATCTTTAGTGTACATTCTTTCTTTATTATGATATTCAAGGATATTATAGAAAAACTTAGATTTTTGATCTTTGAAGAATACTTTTTTATCATTTGTGTAAAAAAATTTCCTTTCATAATGTTTACAAACTTAGCAATTTTAGGTTTCATTATTTTTTCGAAAGGTTGCAGTATTTTCCTGGCTAAAGATATTTCTGAAATCCAGTTTCTCTTGTCTTTTAATTTTCCTAAAATATGTTCCTCTTTAAGTAAATTGCCATTCACATCTATAATATCCTTTACATAAAGAATATCACTTTTAATCCAAGGTTTAAAAAACAGACACTCTCCATTATTTTTCTTAAACAAATAGTTTCCAAAAATTGATTCTTGACAGAGTTTGTCATGATTTATAGCTACAGTATTCCCTCTGTCTTTACATTTATTGAAACCTAATAATATTTCTTGATAAAATTTAGGGATACTTAATAAAAGTGGCATTTCTTTAGCAGAATTAAAATTCATTCTAAGGAGTATTTCATTATTCGATGTTATTTTATTAAAATTCCACAGAGGTAAAATATTCCACTGATTTTTTTCACCAGGATGGAAAATTCTATCTATCCAAGATGCTTTTAAAGCACTGAATTGATTTTCGATATTAATCATATTTACACCTCCTTCTGTAATATCTTTATATAGTATATTTCTTTTAATCCGGTCTTTGCCATTCCAAATAAAATTAAATAGTATTGTATTTATTTTTAAAATCATATCTTTTGGAATTGGAAGAATAGATGCACTATAAATAAGTTTTGGGAGTGCAAGTGACTTTATTATTAATGTTTTTCCAAAAATGGTTAAATCTCTTCTTTTCCATTTTTCTAAATAAGTTTGCATACCTTCAATTTTTTCATCCCAATTTTTCATCTTACATTGATTGTTGTCATATCCAATATAAATGCCAAGATATTTTATGGGTTCAGATTTGAACTGTATATTTTGAAATTTGCCATTTTTATCACTCCATTTACCAAGCCCTATTGCCTCAGTTTTTTCTAAATTTAGCTTCATTCCAGAGACAGTGCAAAACATATTTATTTTCTTTATGGCATTCTTTATGGAATGCTCATCTGCAAGGAAAAGTGTGCAATCATCTGCATATAATGCTGTTTTAATTTCAAATTGGTCCTCATTTAATTTGATATTAATTCCACGGATGTTTTCACTTTGTTTAATACTTAAATTTAACATTTCCATTGATATGATGAAAAGTAGGGCAGACAATGGACAACCTTGCTTAATTCCCCTGCTCATGTGTACTTCTTCAGTTAACCACCCATTATGTTTAATGACAATTGAGGGATTTGAGTATATCATTTTTACCCATCTTATGAAGTCATTCCCAAAGTTAAGTTTTTTAAGTGTTAATAGCACAAAATTCCACTCTATTGAATCAAAAGCTTTCTCAAAATCAGTTAGTACTATAGCGCCATCTTTATTTGTGATCTTACAATATTCTAAAACATCTATTGCTAGTCTACAGTTATTTCCTATGAATCTTTTTTTAATATATGCACTTTGTTCTTTACCTATAATTTTACCTATCACTTTATGGAGTCTGTTTGATAAAATAAATGCTAAAACTTTATAATCCGTATTTGTGAGGCTAATTGGCCTATAATTTTTTAAAAGGTTAGAGTCCCCTTTTTTATAAAGTAATGCTATGATTGCCTTTCTGTAAGAGGGTGGTAGCTCACCATAAACAAAACATTCATTAAGTGAACCTAAAATTAAATTAGAAATATCATCCCAAAATTCTTTGTAAAAGTTAGAGGTTAGGCCATCTATTCCTGGAGATTTGTCCAACTTCAGTTGGCATTTTACTGAATTCAATTCACTTATGTTTATTTCTCCATCACAAAGTGCTTTTTCATTTAATGTAAGAATATGTGGTACCTCAAGAGAATTTAAATAATTATTAATATCATTATCACAAATGTTTTTAGAAGCATATAGGCTTGAATAAAATTTGCACAGTTCCTTCATTATATCAGAATCACTAGTAACAGTGCCAGTCTCTGTCTTGACCTCAGTTATAACATTGTTTCTTTGCTTTGTTTTCTCAAGTCCGAGGAAATATTTGGTGTTTTTTTCATTTTTTTCAATTAAGTCTAATTTTGCCCTTAATTTTGCACCTTGGGCTTGTTCTTCCAAATCCTTTTTAACTTGTGATTGTAATTTTATAATTTCACTTTTCTGAGATTCATTTGGTGTAACTAGCCTTTCTAGACAAATAAATTTATTTTCATTTTCTATCCTTTTACATGCTTTTATTTTTGATCTTTCAATTGAGTATCTTATTGAAAATTCTTTTACTTTCACTTTTACAAGTTCCCATTGCATTCTTTTAGATTTTATTTCTGAGTTTCTTAATTCAGTTATTATCTTTTTAATCCCTATCTTGTATTCATGTTCTTTTATTATTTCTAAATTCAATTTCCAATAACCAGGCCCTTTTTTATTCCTAATTTTGCAAACTTGAATAAGTAATGCTCTATGGTCTGAAAGTGGACAATACATATTTTTTATGCTTAAATCATAATCAGTTTCCTCCGATATTAGACAATAGTCAATCCTACTTTTTTGTGTGGCTTTTTTATTAGACCATGTAAAACCTGCATCTAACCCTGTATCATTTAAATCAAAATAATTGATTAGTTTTTTAAGACTGTTTCTACTCTTATCTTTATTAATGGTCTTAAGAGTAGGATATCTATCATTGACATGTAAAATGCAATTTAGATCTCCAGCAATTATAAGATTTGAGAAATTTAAACAATGTTGTTCAATCCATCTTGGAATGCTGTTTAAAAAGGTTTTTCTGAGAGTTTCATTTACAGGTGCATATAGGTTTACTAAGCAGAATATTTCATTATTGATTTTTACATTTGTTAATAATTTCCTTCCACAATCATCATTGTAAAAATTTATAATTTCACTGTCTAAAGTGCTGTCAATGAAAATAGAAACCCCTCTGCTATGTGAGGAATCAGTAATACTATGAGCACTTTTACCTACCCATTCTTTTTCCAAAATAGTTTTAAGCTTTTTTGTACAGTACGTTTCCTGAACAAATATTATTTTTGCATTTTGATTTTTAACAAACTTATAAAATTGAGACCTTTTATTTTTGTCATTAATACCTCTAATATTTAGAGATAGTAACTTAAAAGATGTTTCATTATGATTATTCATTAGTAATATTAATTATATTTGCATGTTTTTATTTTTTATATATTTATATATATTATATTTTAAGCTAATACTATAATCAATACTAACATTTATAGTTAATATATCATATTTGATGCTAATATTATAATCCATACTAACATCCATAACAAGTCCATAAAACGTTATCAGGTTCATTATTCATAGTTTACAGTCGCTTATAATTTATCACTATGATGCAATGTGTTGCAACCAACAGCCATTACATTATCATCATCGTTATCATCATCAGTGTGATAGTTTTCACTATCACTAGATTGATTTTCATGTTCATTGATTTTTTGATGTTTTTTTACAGCGTTTCTCTTTGGAGTGGCCTTAAATTCCCTTGGAGAACTGCTGGCTTTCCGCTTTTTATCTGCTTCTGACTTTTGGGGGACTTTTGGTGTAGAAAGGCTAGGTACTGTTGGGGAAGTTAACTTACATGTAGATGTAAATAAGACTGGTGATGTTGGTGTACATGGGATTTGTCCATCTGAGGGGATAGGATTTTGTAGTAAATGGGTTGATAAGGGAGTGGGAGAAGATTGAAGAATAAAAATGAAAAAAATTTTAATGAAATAATATTTCCGCAAAATCGCTCTGTTTAGCAAAAACATTGAAATAACAAACATAAGAAGGGCCGCCATTTTTTCAAAATGACTTACTCATGGCCAGAAAAAGTGAGTAGCTTCAATTATTCTTTGGTATTTTTTGGTCTTACAAGCCTTGTATGGTTCTATCACATGGCATTCAACATGGCGGATAACACTAAGTTGGATTCCTATATGGTCCTATAAGCCTAATATGAATCTATTAAATGGATGATTACCGTGAGAACAGATACCAACACAAAACCTTTTGAAAATGGCCAAATTGGGATATGTCTTATGCTTCCGATTCTGCTATTTAAATAAGTATGGAATCTCAACAAAATCACTCCACTTTTTAAGCAAAGACGTAAAATAACACTCACGGAATGGTCATCTTCTAGCAGTGCATTAAATAGCTAAACTATGCTTCTTAGCATTTACATATCAAATATAAAATAACGGCCATCATTTTCAAGATGGCCTTGAGTTAAAAAATATTTTAAGGTTATAAGTCGTCCGTTGCTTTCCAAAAATATACTTCCACATTCGAACAACCAAACGATGCACAATGTACATTTTATTATGGTAGCGAATTTTACTCATGTACTATTCGCCGGTCGTTAATCACTATACAGACGATTTTCTATTTCAGGTGCCTTCCTTTTATCATGGACACCATACGCCATTGTGTCTCTATGGCGTATAGCTTTTTTATTTCATCGTGAAGCCACTCAGTAAAATTACGATTTCTCTGCAACCTGATGTCCAATCAAGATCATTCAAGTATCTATGTGTTCCCGACACGTTTGGGCGTTCGGGAATAACAACGTCTATCCGATTTTGCTTCCCGATTTCAGTCATGAATTAAGTCAATTTTGCGTGCAAACATTGGGTGGATGTTTTCATTACCGGATGCATAAACGTGTCAGGAACACATACACTCCCCTCCATAAGTTTGGCAACCTTTTTTCTCCATTGAACTACGTGTTAAAGCCTCTTTACGTTTGAATTTTTATTAACTTAACCGTCGATGAAATAACTTATAATATTGATGGAAACGTAACTTGACTTTATTTCCAATACCTCCAAATTTTCTCAATTTTTTCCTCAATTACAATAGGTCGAAAATTGATGATTAATTTGATGAATTTTTGAAAATCGTCATTCCCATGTAATCCAATGGGAAATGGAGGGTTCGGGGCAAATCAGAAATCAGGATATCTTTTCAGTAAAAGATTCAGCAAAAAAAATTTCTATATAGAAAATTGAATTGTCTAACTTTTTTGAACACTAGGTGTTTAGTTTATTTGATGAATATTAAAGTTACAGCGCTTCAAAGTCATTTTTGAAAAGAATTTTTCTCCTCCTGTGTTATTTCAATGGGAGAGGTTTTTTGAAAAACAATTTTGACTTTAAAGCCCTATAACTTTGTTGAACCTGAAGAAACATAACAATTTTTCGTTAAATAAAGTTAGCAAATTCAATTACCTGGCAGTGCCTAACTCGTATTTTTGCAAGGACTCGGATGGATGGATATTCTGTCATATGACTTGCGGCAAACGTACCATTTCCTATTGGTTAACATGGGAATGTCGATTTTCAAAAATTCATCAAATTCATCATCAATTTTCGACCTACTGTAGTTGAGGAAAAAAATTGAGAAAATTTGGAGGTATTGGAATTAAAGTCAAATTACGTTTCCATCAATAGTATAAGTATTTTCATCGCAGGTTAAGTAAATAAAAATTCAAAGGTAAAGAGGCTTTAACACGTAGTTCAATGGGGGAAAAAGGTTGCCAAACTTATGGAGGGGAGTGTAGATACTCGAATGATGTTGAATGGACATCAGGGTGCAGAGAAATCGTAATTTTACTGAGTGGCTTCACGAAAGAATAAGCAGCACGTTAGGCCACCTTAAATACTGTGAAATCGACATCATTTTGAAATCAGCGCCCATTTCTGTTCGTGTAGAACACTGATGTCCGTACATGGGGCAATATACATTCATAATTGCAACAAACTGTATTTCAGTGCCAAGACGTACGTACCGAGAGACGGACGGAGGACTTCTTTATATCCACAGACTTTGCTGGACGTGATCATAAGACCCCAGCTCTCTCGTTTCAGTTATTATATATATGGATCTGGTTGAACCGTATCTGTTCTCTTCCCCGTATAATACAGGGCCAGAGTATAGCCTAGTGAGACGAGGGGGTTCGGAAGGTTCCTGCGAACCCCACTCCTCAAATGTTGCCTAAACAATTACAAACCCACCCTTTCCGGCAATTATGCGAACTCCCCAAAAGTTATTTTTTCAGTCTCTCAGTAAAATTATTTTATGATATAACTATTCAAGATGAAATAAAGTAATTTTGTTTAAAAAAATTGATTATTTTCTGTTACCATGCTCACGATTGTCAAAGTAAAGGCATTATTTTGATCTTATTGATACATAAAGAGGGCGGAACTACATGTATAATACACCATCTTTGAGACACCTTGGCCTAATAAGACTTCATACTATAAGAAGCGATGATTTTATTCATTTGACGAACAAATAGGGCATACATATAGGTATTTCAAATGATCACCCCTTTGAAAATGATTTTTTTAGTTTAAACAAAGATGGAACTTGTATGTACTTTATTGTAGGAGATCTATCCTAATAATCCCATACTCGCCACCCCCCCCCCCCTCTTGGTGTGAAAATTAATGCAGGAAAAAGTAACTCACGTAGAAAAAGCAATACAATTTCCACAGATCATAAGAGGCGTTTTACCAATACGTTTTGAAAAAACTTTTGAATGGATAGATGGCGTGGACATACAAGCAAAATTCTCAACTTATTGGTGGTATCAAAACTTTTATTGTTACATTTATCAATCCGACGTATACACTCTACTATACCTAACCCCTAGAAATGCATAAGACATTTTGTTTGTCTAACTGTATTGTTTAGTATATTTTTGAAAGTACTTTATTAACATCTAACAGTCATCCAATAAACCATTCATAAGCAGCAGACACATAAAACAAATAACATAATCATTACTGATAAGCCAAATGGGTTGCTCATGAACACCAAATGCAAGGCCGTATAGTAGAGTGGTATAACAGGCATTTACGTACATGCAAAATGTAACCATATGTATTTAAAATATAACTTTTTTGGTTTTCCGGAGTATATCGGGGCAATATCCTCTGGTTATTCATTTTGCCATTTTGGATATCAAATTTTTCTTTTTTATGCTATTATACATTAAGTACACTAAGTGTAGGATAATATACTTTAAACAAATGCAATAACTCTGTCTAAACAATGATCATAATCAAATATATATTTATATTTATATATGTACACAATATAATACATGGTATAGTGTGCTCAGATGTACACATCTAACGTTATGGTTTGTTGAGCAAAATCGCAATTACTCTGCTAAAAATATTTTCAAGTACATAAATTGTACATATTATAAGATGGTTGATATGATTACTATTACTCAATAGTAAACGCAGGTCATAGTGCAGAATGATAGATTTTCTATTCCAAGCTCTCTTCTTTATGAGAGAAGTCATGAGCAGCTGGACAACGTGGAATCACAACATTTGAGTTTGAAAATCACCGATGCACCCGAACCGAAGATTTCATGAACGTCATGGTCTATGGAACAATCGGATACTTTTGTTGCTCTCGGAAGCTGAAGTTGGCTACACTGTAGTAGATAAATTTCTTGGTGTGGCGGCTGTTTGATGCGAGGTGGTGTTATTTTTCTTATTCTCTACATTATGTTTTCCAGGGACCAATACATCCTATAAAATATTTGAAGATTTAACAATGATGTGCTGTTTTGTTAGACAAGGGGCATAGTTAAAAATCATCTTCAAAACATCTTCAATTTTTTAGTTGACACCAAATTTTCATTTGCCGATTAATCTCTAATTGCTCTTACTGTATGATCCAAATCGAATTTTCACATGATTTGTGTGTTTTACCTTACATCATTTGTGAAAAATAAAATCTTATTTTGACAAAATGATAATACAAACATTACCTATGATGTATTATATCTGGGGTTCTGAACAACGTAGGCCCACCAATATCCAATGTTGAAAATAAGGAAGGCAAGAGGGAAGAGTATCCTCGCAATCATATCAACAATAGCAGCTTTGTTGTTCCGGCTTATTCCACAGCATCTTTTCTTATCGTCGATATCAGGAATAGGTGTATCTGTATGTATTCCTGCTACTAATGAGTTAAGAGTTGAGTTATTATTGGTCCTCTTTTTGAGTTCACTTTGTTTGCCGTTTGTTGTGACCTTATTAGGGTTCAGAGCACTCGGTTGCCTAGCAACAAACGAATCCGGGTTGATTATTACCTCGGACATGTTTGCTTTTTTCTTTTCGTTGCGCTCCTCATCTTCCTCTTCGTCCTCTGCATACGGCGTCATAAATTCCTGTAAGAAAGGTTCAATGAAAGTATCTGAATGTTGCTCTTTTGGTGATTCGTGATGCAGGTACTTTGCCTGCCTTATACCTTTCTTCACCTATTTGTGATAAGAGAGAGCCCTGATGGTCTGCAGCTGAAGATGGCCAAGTGAAATTCCCATTCTTCATTAGGGTTAAGCCTTGGGTTAGGGTTAGTGTTGGGTTTAGGGTAAGGGTTGATGCATCTTCGCAGTGTTCAGCTGCGGACCACAAATCGTTACTCTGTGCGATAAAACATTTTGATTTAGAGATATGCGCAGGCAGACAGTAAAAGGACAAAGTGGAACGCTGTTAGTTACAGCATGGGTGTTTAACTAGAGGGTAGGCAACTTCCCATATTTCAAACATAAGCATTGCCTTTGGGTTTTCAAAATTGGAGAATGTACACATTCCAAGAAAATCTTATTTTGTCCTTTTTATGGATGATTTAAAGAAATAACTCAAAAATAAAAACATGATTATCTGCATACATGTTGATAATTTAATAAAAATGGAATTCATCATAATTATGACAATACAAAAAGTGAACAATTTTCCACAAATTATGGTTTTATTGGAATGTGTTCTTGAATAATTACCCACAATGCAATACTCCCAGAGAACACCTTGATACTTCTTATTCTTATTGGTCTTTTTTGTTTACACTTACATGAGATTGAATATATTTTATGCTTTAATCATATTAAGAATTGATTTTTATTCAAAATAATACGAAAACATATACATTTATCTAATACTTATTCTACCATAAAATAGAAGCAAGGTATTGCTCATTTTTAAGGTCTCATGTTATAACACAGAGTTGCATACCCTTCTAATTAAAAGCCCATGGTTTCAGGTAACAAAAGCATGCAATAATACAGTTTACAGATAGATAATGATAGCTTGATATTCATTTATTACAGTACGTGCTTAAAGCAAATTGATAATGGAAAAATAAAGAGAATTGTGTGTTTGTTGTTTTTCGTTAGTTTTGCGCCACCTACCGAATCATTTTCGTCTCTTCGATAGGGCATCATTTCGTTGCCGATACGCTGGTACTTCGAGACCTACAGTTAATAAGTAAGTTCATTACCTCGGGAAGTTGTAATTGATGGCGGGAGAACAGTTCTAGCAACTAATAAGCTGATAAGGCTTATTTCTAATGGAGATAAAGCGACATCTTTAGAATGTTAAGCTATTTATTTTTTATGAAACTGTATGTCAATGTGTAACATCATAAACCCGATGGATTACTAAAGGATTCTCAATTTGTTTTTTCTAAATCGGTCAGCAAAATATAATGGGGGGGGGGGCAAATCAATCAAAACACAGGGCATTAAAATGCAAAATGTCACCATCTGCTATTTGTTACAAACGCTAAATGACGAACTCGTCCTGTTAACCCTTTTATTTATTGATTTATATCTTCTCTAGATATCTGAACAGGTACCCGTATGCTTATGCAGACCCAACTTTTAACCGATTGGGAATTTTAGCTGTAGTGTTAGGTTTAACACTGGGTAATGATGTTTTCACGCTTAAGGGGCTCCAAATACTTGCACACGTTTTAATATCCAAGCTCAATGCCTATATTTTTTGGTAATGCATACAATGATGGGCAAAATATAATTTCCTTATAGTTTATTGAATCATGTTATTGAGACATTAAATATCTTACAACAGCAATTCAATCCAGGAACTTTTGAATCGAATCACAAAACGTGTTATTTACTCATATATACTCATTGATGAATATTATATAACGGATCAAAACATATATCAGTGCATTCATGTTTCAGTGTAACACTTGTTAGCAAGAAGAGAAGATCACAATTGATAAAATACAGACACCAAATTCTAGAAGTGCAATTAAATGTATAAATCACTTTCTTGTCATAGAAAGAGATCCAATAAATCCCACCACCTCAGGACTAACCGTCGACAACCTGATAATATATACGGGTGTACACTTTTAAAAGAAAATAAACTTTTAGCACCCTTATTATGTTAATAGATTCTCAATTTTTTCAAGGTATTCCACCCACATAATTGGCCAGCTGGAAAATGTTGGCTATATTCGCATGGGTAGAGATGGAATTACCGAGAAAAAGTAGTGCTCTGCTTAAGAATCTGTAATCGTAATTAGAGAGTTAAAAGTCTTGCCAAGAGCATGTACATGGAATTAAACGTGAAATACTTCATCATATTCCTTAGATAAATCTTTTGAAACCTATGTCACAGTTTTACCTTCAAACATGAAAACGTACAGCTAAAGTGTACACCCCTATATTTTGTCACTGTGCGTTGTCGATGGTTAGGCGTGCACCTGTTAGTTATGAAGTGAGCCGTGTACACTTAATTATTTAAATAAGAGTAGCTTAATAATCATTTCCGACATCTGACAATTACTTTTATAAATATTGTCGCCTGAAAGTTTGAAACATTAGAGCCGACCGTCATCAGTTCCGTGAAAGGGTTAAGATTCGTTTAAAAGTTACATAGTGTTAAATGAAAAATACTTGATCATAAGCGCATCGAATATCAACAAACCTTTCTTGAGAGAACATTCACAAGGGCGTATTCTAGTAACCCGCCAACAACAAAAACAAGACATGTCGCCATCCACACATCGATTGCCTTGACGTATGACACTCTTGGAAGCTGACCGAGGACCCCGGACGATTGGGTTGTGATCGTGAGAACTATAAAATGAGCATATAATATAGGAGTGGCAATGTGGGATTATTTGCATTTTTATTTTAGTTAATAAATGGAAACATATCTGAACTAAAACTAAATGAACCTCAAGAGGGCTGCCACATAGTCATATGCTTTTGGCTTACTTTAGCAGAAAATAGATGTCGTAACGTTGATCAATGCGTTCAATCAAACGTTCTGTTTCGACCTGTATATATTAAAAGACAAGGTTCACGTTGTCATGTTGACTATAATATTAAGCCCACATTAAGTCAACGTCAAAAAGTTATACCAGTAAGGTCAGAAGAGTTAGTCGGCAAAAATATCTCAATATCTTTTTTTGTTCACATTCACGGCCTAGACAGACATCTCGTGATCGTGTAGGTATTGTACTTCCATGAAGAATTATTCACAAAATCGTTTTTGTTGTCAACAAGGAAAATTAAGAATATTAACGTAGTAATGCCAATGTTTAGCTTCCTGTCTTCTAGGATTTATTTGTAACGTGAAACGTATTCGGATCTCTTTTCCGGAAAGTGTCTACCAGTTCATTGATAAAAGATTTCCGGAGGACATTGAATTATAAAAGGATGTGACGTACATGGACATGCAATTACGAGGAAGGCAATTTCCCTCAAGGGGATTTGTCCTTGACCTATATTACGCATTCGGTCGGTTGATCGGTTTTAAAATATTTTTTGAACAATTTCTAAATTAGTAGCATATTTCACAAGATAAACAATTTTGTATTGTAAGGCGATTGATAAGTTTTACAAACCTGTTAGGAGAGAAAGAGTCACCCTGGCGGGCACCGCTTTATTGTCAATCCAAAATGCGACCCACGAAAGTATGACCACAAGTATACTAGGGATGTACGTCTGAGTTAAGTAGAATCCAATGGCTCGCTCCAAATAAAGCATGCCATATATACAAGTAAACGAACCTGAAAGAAGCTTGTCAAACTGAATAGATATACCAAGACCAGATAGTGTCTGAAATGTAAAAAACTTTTTTTTAAACTCAATCCGAAATTTCACAATTTTTAGGTTGAGAAGTATGCAACCTCCTTCCCCAAGAAACAAAAATTAAAATGTTGACTAGCGTATCCATCCACTTGAACAAAAAATCATCACATCACATTACAAAATTAACGTTCATTATTCCACTTTTGTTGACTTTTGGTCAATAAGTCATACCTGTACTATAAACAGCAGTACAATCTCCCTTGGAAAAACCACTAACCGAGAATTCTGGCAGGCTAATTGTAGGAGCGACTTCAACTCCATCGGTACCTGGGGTCCAAATTAAGATTATATCTCTCGTAGTATAGCCATCTGTAGAATGAAAACGGAATTACCACATGATTTTCAGTTTAGGTATAGATTTCATAGCATTTTATTATTGTAGAGTAAGAGTTTTTTGATGATACATTTGTTAACAACTAAAACAGTTGACTCACCTACCCAGATTACCAATACTTAAAAATTACTTGCAAAATATCCACGAATTGCATTTTCATTGTGAAGTTATTGAAGATTAAATTGCAAAATTAAATTTCCAAAAGTAAGTAGAAAGCTATAACTAAAAAGAATAGTAAAACCAAAGAAAACGAAATTCTTTCTCAAACTTTAGGGTAAGCATACGCCTGGAATTACCCGAAATTGAGACAGTTTTTGAAAGGTTACTCCTGCATTTTTCATTAGTATCACAACAACTTGCAAAGAGTGTCGAGTGCAAATGTTTTGTAATGTTCCATAATGTTGTATCACAATAAAACTCAACTAACTGAGCGACGAGATAGTTTTATAAAACAAAGTACTGTATCTATCAACATGGTTCTCCTTGCGATCCCGGGCTTGTGATATCATAAATATCAAGTTTTAGGGTAGAGTGATAGTATAAACACTATAGACTATAATGGCTATAAACTGCCAAGAAGTTCTGCCAATAACTTATCTGAGTGATGAGCTAGTTTTATATAACAAAGTATCTGTCAACATGGCTCTCCTTTCGATAACATAAATATCAAGTTTTAGGGTAGAATGATAGTTTAAACTCTATAAACTATAGCTATAAACTGACAATAAGTTCTGCCAATAACTTATCTGAGTGATTAGCTAGTTTTATATAACAAAGTATTTATCAACATGGCTCTCCTTTCGATATCATAAATATCAACTTGTAATCGATTTATTCAAAACAAACAAAGTGCTATTTAGCCCCCTGCTTTTCACAGTAATTAATTAGGTTTTCATCAAAGATCAACTCATCGATTGAATGTTCCCTTGCAAACAACAAGGATAAGTTTCCTTAATTGTATATTATGTAGTAATTTGTTTATATTAGAACATATAGGTAATTGGAATTTGAATGTGCTAAAATATAAAATATTATTTTGCTATAATAAATAGATTTTATTCTTCGTGATATATTCAAAACTCTTAAGAATCACAAGATATGTTGAAACTGAGAGAAAAAACAAAAACGTGTGCAAAATAAACATTTACAACGAAACAAATGAGTGTATCACTCCGAGTATTCAGACTGGCTAACTCGTATATTTTTCTCAACAAGATACTTTATCCATTTCCGATGCGCATTAATTAGACTATGGATAACCGATTTCGATAAATGGGAATTTATCCTTGAGTAGGATTGAATAATCAGTACTCCAAGGGACATGAATTGTGTGGCCGCGCGTTGATCAAAAAGTGGGTCAATATTATTTGTTTGCAACATTATCACTAATTGTTTATATTTCTTAGTTTGGAGGTCGTATCGAATTTTATTTAATTGGACATGTTCGTTTCCACAACAAACTGGGCACTAAAGAATACATCGTTAAGACTGCGTTCTAGAACTGACTGCGGTGCTAGTGAATAGCATAATACTTAAGTATAAGTTTTCCCCTAGGTATTACGAAGAAGAACAATACGCCCCTGATGTGCAAATAACATGATCATACGTTTTCAACAAAAACAGTTTATCCAAGCAAACTTACACCGCTAATTACGATATGTGTAAATCTTGTCATCCAATCGCGTGTGTCAACCGCGCCGGCTTGTCGCTAGTCCACCACAGAGTTCGATTGCAATAAACCGTGTTGTCTTTCAAAATAATTATGTGAGTGTAAATGCGCTTTGATGAACCATTTTTGTTGAAAACACATGAACATGTAATGAGCAATGCAGGGCTTATTGTTCTTTTTATGATACCTGGGGAGAAAACGCATCAAAATACTTCTTAACTTACTAGCACCGCGGGCAAACAAAATTACAGTCTTTATTATTTCGTTTACATGTTCTTTTGTTTAAGAAACTTTGCAGTTTATAATTTATGAGTTGGCTATATCATGTTTTATGATTATTGAGCAGCTGTGTATCGTGGATAATTGTGTATGTGAAAAGTAGCATACATGGTGGGATGGTCTTCTGATAATTGGAGTTTTCTACGAGAATCTTATTTGCCATAGCAACAGGGCACGGTACGGCCATCTGAATCAAATAGTACATTGGTACATAATGTAGCCGACATGAAAATTACAGACTGAGAACAATGGTCTAAGACTGTTTTAGCCGACATGGTCGACTAAAACAGTCTTAGACCATTGTTTTCAGTCTGTAATTTGTCCATGAAATGGAAGGGTATATGCCATTTTGAGTATCACGCCGAAAATGGTAAAGGTCATTGCTAGCTAAAAACTAAAGTATGTTTAGATTTGAAGGATGATTTATGACCAATAAGAGCTGAAATATGGTTTATGGGCAATAAGAATGGCGACCATTTTGAATTGCCAAAACTTGTTTACATAAAGGCCAACCTATGAAATAAGGTACCTGTGTAATTTCGAGTACATTGCCGAACAATTTTGGAGCAATGACCAAAAAAAGCTAAATAACATAAAATAAAGTATTTGCACAAGTTTAGTTGATTGATTGAGCTATATTAAAAATATGACCAAAATAGCTGAATATGATTTTACGGCATTAAATGATGCGGTCATTTTGAACACAAGTCATCTTTAATATTAAAATAATTAACAAAACAACTCAAAACTAATATGGTACCAATAGCGATTATAGTTCTGTCTTTGATTTAATTACAAAGTGGCTCGATAGACGGACGGACAAACAGACATACAGATCGGACATACGGGCGAGTGATTTATAGAAGCTCAACATTTGAAACATTAAAACAACATAACAACATATAGGGCAGTATTTTATTTGAATGCATTGCAGTCATATTTTGATACCAATATGGAAATTTGTCAAAAGCATTTCGAATGAACAATTTTATCATTGATCACTTTTGATTTTACAAGACACAATTAAGCGATTGTGTCAGATTATCATTACATCACAAACTATGTTTACCAAAATATGAAATGTATCAATAAAATACAATGTCCTTTGCGTCCACATATTCTAAAACCGTTAGAGATATTGTATACTTACAACTTTCAAGCGTTATAGCACAAGACTGATTATCAACAGGAAAATATTGCAGGTCCATCGGACAGCCCAATTTGAGAGACAGTCTAAAAATAAAATATTGGGAATAACAATATATCTATCCACAAAAAATCGAGTATGAAAATGCAAAAAAAGCAATAAGAAAGTGCCAGGCATAGCAAAGATAGGATCAGACTAAAATAAAGATTACCATGCACGACAATACGATAGTCTACAATAAAGTCTTCAATCTACAGTCTACAATTAAGGAAAATTGGATATTTGTTTTATAAGCAGCCTTATAACAGACACCATTAATGAAAATGGGATGAATTGAATAACCCCGTGACAGAAGAAATTGTAAAATAATAAAAGTATATGAGCATTCTTATACAAACAATGAACATAGGGTACCTGATTTATAACCCTCTTCATGTGATCAATATCTGGTAAATACCTGTGGATGTTTACCTTAGTATGTTTATTGAGCACCGCATTGTTACTAGTGAACTGTTATTGTTTCCCTTTTATTGATGTTCGATGTCATGTCAATACTTATCTTTTGATTTATTCCGTGACATTATGCCATGGGATTAGTTGTCTTGAATTTTCTTAAAATTATCTGGCAAAAGGAGGGAAATCAATGCTTACTGTAATGTTCATTGGAAAACATTTGGTCAATTATGGTCAAATGGTTATTGGTCAATAATGAAAGGGATAGTTGAATAGTGTGTTCATGATGTATGGTTTGGAATTATAGGTAGCAGTCGGGAGCTTCGCTATCTGACTGAAATTTTATTTCGTCATACAATGTGCACCTTTCACCGCTTATTAGGAGGCCCCCCGGCAGGGGCCTCCTATCAATTTTGTAGATATTATTCTTTATTAGGAGGCCCCATCGGGGGGCCTCCTATCAATTTTGTAGATATTATTCTTTATTATTATTCTTTATTAGGAGGCCCTCCTGAAAGGGCCTCCTATAGCTTTTGTAGCTTTTCTTTATTCTTATTCTTATTATTATTCTTTCAAAGCAGTTTTCTCCTACTTTCAACTAGCTTTCAACTTTCTACTATATGCTCCTACTAGATACCTGGTTTCATCTTGATGGGAAAATATTTCATATCTAGGTCAATGTCAAAGGTCAAAATCTAGGTCAAATCTAAGCTTTTTTTCAAGTTTCTCAAGTTTGTCATTATACTTCATTATTTCTTGCGATGAATTAAACTGAAACTACATTTAAGTATTCTCTACAAATTGTTCACTATATGTCAGCATTAAATTTTTACCGTTTTTGAGATATTTGACGTCAAAAAACAGTCAAAAGAGGTCATTTTTCAACTTGCTTCAATCTGACCAAATTTTTTTTTAAAAATCATCTACAAGTTCCCAGGAGTCCAAATCTGACTTCAAATTTGACCTTTGACCTTTAGTTGACCTTCAGTGACCTTCGAAAGGTCAGAAAAGTTGATTTTTCAAATTGAGTCTTTGGATTCAAATTTAGGTCAGTCTAATTACAAAAAGCCTACTGAGGTCTAAAAAAGTAAAAATTTCAAGGTCAAAGGTTAAGGTCATTAAAGTAGGTCACAAACTGTGCTATCTAAGTTTCTCATGGTTCAAGACTACAAATCAATATTTTTAATTGAAAGTCAAGATATACATTTCTCTAAGGGTTCTACACATATTAGTCATTGACTATTTATTAAAATTTTGTCCCAGTTTTGATATATAAGAGCTCAAAAACTGAAAAAGGTCAATTTTTCAAAGTTTATAAGGTCAAACTTTAACTTGCTTCAAATTCACCAAACTTTTTTTTAAAAATCATCTACAACTTCTCAGGAGTTCATATTTAACCTCGGATTTGACATTTGACCTTTAGTTGACCTTCAGTGACCTTCGAAAGATCAGAAAAGTTGATTTTTCAAATTGAGTGTTTGGATTCATATTTCAGTATTTAGGGTTAGCCTAATCATAAAAGACCTACTGAGCTCTAAAACAGTAAAATTTTCAAGGTCAAGGGTCACGGTTATCAAATTAGGTCAAAGGTCAAAATCTAGGTCAAATCTAAATTTTTTTCAAGTTTCTCAACTTTGTCCTTATACTTCATTATTTCTTGCGATGAATTAAACTGAAACTACATTTTAGTATTCTCTACAAATTGTTCACTATATGTCAGCATTAAATTTTTACTGTTTTTGAGATATTTGACGTAAAAAAAACGGTCAAAAAAGGTCATTTTTCATCTTGCTTCAATCTGACCAAATTTTTTTTTATAACTCATCTACAAGTTCCCAGGAGTCCAAATCTGACCTCAGATTTGACCTTTGAACTTTAATTGACCTTGAATGACCTTCGAAAGGTAAGAAAAGTTGATTTTTCAAATTGAGTCTTTGGATTCAAATTTAGGTCAGCTTAATTACAAAAGTCCTACTGAGGTCTAAAAAAGTAAAACTTTTCAAAGTCAAAGGTCAAGATCATGAAATTAGGTCACAAACTGTGCTATCTAAGTTTCGCAAAGTTCGACTACAAACCAATATTTTTAATCCGGAGTCGAAATATACACCTTCCTCTAAGGGTTGTACACATATTAGCAATTGACTATCTAATAGAATTTTGTCCCAGTTTGAGATATAAGAGTTCAAAAGTTGAAAAAAGGTCAATTTTCAAGGTCAAATTTAAACTCGCTTCAAATTGACAAAATCTTTTTTTGAAAATCATCTACAAGTTCTCAGGAGTTCACATCTGACCTCAGATTTGATATTTGTCCTTTAGTTGACCTTCAAATTGTCAAAAATGCCTAAGAGGGCCTCCCTGAGATTGCTTGCAATCTTCAAAAGTCTAGTTTATTCTTCCTCCCTCTTTTTCTCCTACTTCCGACTAACTTTCAACTAGCTACTACATAGTCCTACTAGGGACCTTAGCTGAACTTGGTGGGAAAGACCTTTATATCTAGGTCAAGGTCAAAGGTCAAAATCTAGGTCAAATCTAAGCTTTTTTTAAGTTTCTCAGATTTCGTCCTCATACTTCATTATTTCTTGCGATGAATTAAAATGTAACTAGATATAAGCATTCTCTACAAATTGCTCACTATATGTACGCGTTAATTTTTTACCGTTTTTGAGATATTTGACGGCAAAAATCGGCAAAAATCGGTCATTTTTCAACTTGCTTCAAATGAACCAGGATTTTTTTTAAAAATCATCTACAAGATCTCAGGAACTCAAATATGTCCTTACTTTTGACCTCCGACCTTTGGTTGACCTTCGGTGACCTTCGAAAGGTAAAAAAAGTTGTTTTTTCAAATTGATTTTCTGGATTCAAATTTAGGTATATTTGATCACAAAGGACCCACTGAGGTCTAAAAATGTAAAATTTGCAAGGTCAAAGGTCAAGGTCATCAAACTAAATCACAAACTGTGTTTTCTAAGTTTCTCAAAATTGGAGACTACAAATCAATATTTTTTCATGAAAGTCAGGATAAATATTCCTCTATAGGTTCTACACATATTAGCAATTGACTATTTATTAAAATTGTGTACCAGTTTTGAGATATTGGAACTCAAAAACTGAAAAAAGGTCAAATTTCGAAACTTTTCAAGACTAAATTTCAACTTGCTTCAAATTGACCAATTTTTTTTTTAAAACTCATCTACAAGTTCTCAGGATTCCAAATCTAACCTTACTTTTGACCTTTGACCTTTGGTTGACCTTCAGTGACCTCCGAAAGGTCAAAAAGTTGATTTTTCAAATCGATTTTCTGGATTCAAATTTAGGTATATTTATTCACAAAAGACCTTCTGAGGTCTAAAAAAGTAAAATTTGCAAGGTCAAAGGTCAAGGTCATCAAACGAAATCACAAACTGTGTTTTCTAAGTTTCTCAAAATTGGAGACTACAAATCAATATTTTTAAATGAAAGTCAGAATATATATTCCTCTACTAAAGGTTCTACACATATTAGCAATTGATTATCTATTAAAATTTGGCTCCAGTTTTGAGATATTATAGCTCAAAAACTGAAAAAAGGTCAAATTTCGGAATTTTTCAAGGTCAAATTTCAACTTGCATTTATTCGACCAAACCTTTTTTAAAAATCATCTACAAGTTGTCTGGAGTTCATATATGACCTTGTATTAGAGATTTGACCTTTGGCTGGCCTTTGAATGTTCAGAAACGAATATAGGGCCTCCGTAAGATTGCTTGCAATCTTAGATCGTTATTATTTATTCTTCCTCCCTCTTTTTCTCCTACTTCCAACTACCTTTTAACTAGGTACTACATAGTCCTACTAGGGACCTGGGCTGAACTTGGCGGGAAAGGAATTTTTATCTAGGTCAAGGTCAAAGGTCAAAATCTAGGTCATCAAACTAAATCACAAACTGTGTTTTCTAAGTTTCTCAAAATTGGAGACTACAAATCAATATTTTTTCATGAAAGTCAGGATATATATTCCTCTATAGGTTCTACACATATTAACAATTGACTATTTATTAAAATTGTGTACCAGTTTTGAGATATTGGAACTCAAAAACTGAAAAAAGGTCAAATTTTGAAAATTTTCAAGACTAAATTTCAACTTGCTTCAAATTGACCAAATTTTGTTTCAAAACTCATCTACAAGTTCTCAGGATTTCAAATCTGACCTTACTTTTGACCTTTGACCTTTTATTGACCTTCAGTGACCTCCAAAAGGTCAAAAAAGTTGATTTTTCAAATCGATTTTCTGGATTCAAATTTAGCTATATTTATTCACAAAAGACCTTCTGAGGTCTAAAAAAGTAAAATTTGCAAGGTCAAAGGTCAAGGTCATCAAACTAAATCACAAACTGTGTTTTCTAAGTTTCTCAAAATTGGAGACTACAAATCAATATTTTTTCATGAAAGTCAGGATATATATTCCTCTATAGGTTCTACACATATTAACAATTGACTATTTATTAAAATTGTGTACCAGTTTTGAGATATTGGAACTCAAAAACTGAAAAAAGGTCAAATTTTGAAACTTTTCAAGACTAAATTTCAACTTGCTTCAAATTGACCAAATTTTGTTTCAAAACTCATCTACAAGTTCTCAGGATTTCAAATCTGACCTTACTTTTGACCTTTGACCTTTTATTGACCTTCAGTGACCTCCAAAAGGTCAAAAAAGTTGATTTTTCAAATCGATTTTCTAGATTCAAATTTAGCTATATTTATTCACAAAAGACCTTCTGAGGTCTAAAAAAGTAAAATTTGCAAGGTCAAAGGTCAAGGTCATCAAACTAAATCACAAACTGTGTTTTCTAAGTTTCTCAAAATTGGAGACTACAAATCAATTTTTTTTACTGAAAGTCAGAATATATATTCCTCTAAAGGTTCTACACATATTAGCAATTGATTATCTATTAAAATTTGGCTCCAGTTTTGAGATATTATAGCTCAAAAACTGAAAAAAGGTCAAATTTCAGAATTTTTCAAGGTCAAATTTCAACTTGCATTAATTCGACAAAATCTTTTTTAAAAATCATCTACAAGTTGTCTGGAGTTTATATATGATCTTAAATTTGATATTTAACCTTTAGTTGACCTTCTAATTGGCAATGCCTACAGGGCCTCCGTAAGATTGCTTGCAATCTTCTAGTTATAATTAAAGCCCGCCATCTCGAAGGGTGTCTTGTACAAAATCGTCAGTCTCCGTTCCCTCTCAAAATGTATTGTTTGAAGGACAATGTAAGTTACTGAACAGAAGTACAATACAGATATGGCATTCTCCCATGTACCGGTATTCAGAAACCACATACAAACTCCGCACTACCATATTCCTCCTGTACAAGAGAGGTAGATAGGGGGAGGGGGGGGGGGTTGGAGGGTCATAGAGATTAAACGCCAGAAGAACAAAGCAATACATTTTAAGAAACAAATTAGCTGACCTCTGACTGTAAAGAATTTTTCCATCTGGCCATATCCTTAGAAGCCTATTTGGGGTTGTGATATCATGGAATTTGGCTTCTTTCTCATTGGATACGAATGTGTCTGGGACCCATATCCTTTCGACCTGATTGTAGTTGAGCGTAAGTGAATGGTTGAAGCGTGTGAAGCTCAACCTGGGGTCTGTCCAACGCTGCCGGAAGTACGTATTCACTGAGTAGTCCTATAAAGGAGTAAAATCCGGATGACATGATTATACAGTGTCGATTGAAAATGCTCCGATATCTTATCAAGCTGTTTTTGACCGTAAATGGTTGTCCTCTTGGGCGGTTCGTTTGGGAGCTTTGTATTAATGGTACTGAACTGCAGTTAAGGGCACTGAGGTTAGATGTTAAGTCGCAAGTACTAGTATTATTGCTATTAATATGATGTACATTATACACATAAAAATAGTATCATTGCTTTATAGACCTTGAGTTTATCTCACAATGGTAAATATATCATACGGGTATTGTGAATTTTAAGGAGATTTTCGTGATTATCAAATAAAGTATTGAATTATATGGAATTATATCAACATATATATTTGTTATTTATAATATAGAGAACGAGAAACTAGTGAACAAGGAGATGAACCTTAAGTTGGATGTCGGATGTAAAATATACTGACCATTTGTAATTCATTAATTGAGCTTATTGAATTGATTCTGATGTCAACCGTGACAGTCACCGGTTTATCTGAAAAATACAAATCAGTACATGTATACCCGCATCAAAGAGATGAGTCCGAATCGATCCATGGACTTACGGCCAAATCAGTCCCGACACCCCTTGAAAATTCGCCCCTTTAGTCCTTTTGGACAACTCAGGTCATTGCCAACTAAGTCCTAATACCCCTGGACAACTCAGTTCATATACAGCTCAGTCCCAATACCCCCTGGACAACTCAATTCATTGTCACCTCCGTGCCGATACCCCCATTGTACAACTACATTGTTGGATAACTCAATCCCAATACCCCCTGGACAACTCAATTCATTGTCACCTCTGTGCCGATACCCCCATGCACAACTACATTTTTGAATAATTCAATCCCAATACCCCCATGCACAACTCAATTCATTGTCACCGCTGTGCCGATACCCCCATGCACAACTACATTTTTGGATAACTCAATCTCAATACCCCCTGGACAACTCATTTCATTGTCACCTCTGTGCCAATACCCCCATGCACAACTACATTTTTGGATAACTCAATCTCAATACCTCCCTGGACAATTCAATTCATACACAGCTCAGTCCCAATACCCCCATGCACAACTCAATTTATTGACAACTCAATCCCTATACTCCTAGACAATATAGTTTATCGACAACTCAGTTCCTGACTCTCGTATACACCCCTGGACCATTCAATTTACTGACAACTCAACATATGGGCAATAATGATATCTAAACTCTGAGATACAACAAATATGAACCTGAATTAAATGTTTTAATTCTTAGATGCAGTTAAAAAATTATTTTCCTGTAACACATAACCTTAGCATACTATGGTAAAGAATAGTTGTCCGGGGGTTGTGTATGTGTTGAGTTGCACACGGGATGAGCAGTATATGTGTTGAGTTGCACATGGGATGAGCAGTCTATGTGTTAAGTTGCGCATGGGATAACCAGTCTATGTGTTGAGTTGCACATGGGAGTAGTCTATGGATTTGGTTACCGAGAGGAAAATCAGTATGTGATTGAGGTGTCCAGGGGTAGAGCAGTCCTTGGGTTGGGTTACCCAAAGGATGAACAGTCTAGGATTGTGCTATCTAGGAATTTAGCAGTCTAGCTAGCTTTGGATTGGGTTACCCTGGGGATAAAGAGTCTGGAATTTAATTGTTGTCATCGGACTGAAATTGATCTACGTTGGTTTTTATTATTATAGACAATATAAATGCGTTTTAATTGACAGATAGAGTGGCTTGTATTTCCTGTTATAACCCATGAATTGTGTGGTATCTAGGTGACGTAAGTATTCAGTATCACGCACGAAGAAATACAATTATTCCAACCAGATCAAGTTTGCGCAAAGTAGATGTTCTGTTTTTCAAAAACAATACAGCAGATATCAAATTTGTTTTAATAATTGGGAATGTATTGATTGCATGCGCCATAAGTTCATACCTGTCATAATTCACGAAACTATATCAAACTATTAGTAAATTAAAAATGTCCCTTTGATATTTAGTAGTATAGTTGGACAATCTGACATTCAGATTGAACCGTTCAGGGACTGAAGCTTTCCAAAATCGAGAGAAAACCACAGCATAATATATATATAGGGATAAGCAGTACGATGTAGACTTTTTTTTATCAATTTTGTGAAGCTACGGCCACCGTATCGCCGCCGTAGGGCAAATGCGACTAAGTCTTAAGTTAACTAGTGATTTTTGCTTACTGTCGTCAGCGAAGGGTCTGACTCGCCCATCATAGCCATTTGATAGCAAATCGTCCAAGAAGTCCTGAACTGACTGTTGTCCTCCCCTGACAGGTTGTGTGAAGGCGGGGTCCGTTGTTGCATCCGTGCCCCGTGGCCTACAATACATAATACAACAACATTAGAGAAGTTACGTGATATACCTGTGGGATAACTTGGACGTAACCATTTAAAAATGAACCTTTCGGGGCCCCGGGGATCAAACACAACTACTTATACTTTCATAATTTTCCCATTTTCGAAAAAATCTCTTCGAGGGGATCATGATTCAACAGGCCATAGAGTCATCGTAGAAATTAAAACTTTTTCGTTTCGGCCGTAGAATTGTTATATCGTAGAAATAAAATACCGTAAGGCCGCCATAGCAAATGCGACTGAGGTTTTGGCCATAAAATAATCAATCATGAATATTCTGCTCGCTTTGACAATTTAGGACAGATTCTTACAGGTATTGTGTGCTTTACAAAGTTCAGAAGTTATTTGCTAATCTGAAAAGCTATTTAATTTTATCAAAAAGTAAAATCCTTCTGAACTTTTTGTACTAACTATGGATTTCATTACAATTCAAAAAATGTTTTACCAATAACTTTGTACAAACGTATATGTTTAGCTCAATACTACAATGTAAATAGTTTTATAGATAACATGTTAAATTTTATTGAATCACATGAGTGTTTCTATTTATACTTTCCAACACAGTAACTAGGGATCCAATCAACATTATCGTAGGAACACAAAACTGTACAGATTTAAACTGAATGTGTCCAATTGTTATGAATATTCACCTTGTGGATTTATTCCCAAGGCTGTGTTTCCGATACTTTTTTTGTTTTTTTTGCTCACTATTCTATTGTATTGTAATATAAATCATAAATTGTAATTCATACAAGTCTTATGATGAAATCGATTTTTTGGTGGATTTCAACTAACTGCTAAATTAATTTCAATTATGTCTGTTATGTATATTCCATTCCAAATGCGTTCTTTGTTCCTTCTATTTATATCACGTTTTGAAGCCTTTTCGTTCTTAGCGATGTTCATTATTTAACACAGTTATTATAAACACAAAACAAATTTATTGGTATTCAATGTGAATTTAATGTTATCGGAGAGGGGTGCTTATTGGCGAAATTCTTGATCAACCATTTCGCTACAACCCCCCTATTATCTTCATGTTGCCCTTACCGCATCTAGATGACCCACTATGGATTGATATATTTTTTGCTCAAATATGTTAATTTTGAATGGGTTCAATTGAATGTTTTACCTTAAATGACCCCTAGTTAGTGAATATAGACAGGTATTCTTCAAGTCCACACCATGCACTTTAGTTTAAATTGCTTTTTTACAATAAACATTGTTAAACACTTTTTATTTATTTCTTCAATTGGATAACAAGCTATTGAAGTAACCTTTAATTGGCCAATTGACGAAACAGAATTTGAGGCTTTGACTAATTCAAGTTCTATTTTGCATAGAGCAGTGTAACTCATAGAAACCGACAAACACGATATCTCCAAGTATTATCCTTAAGTTTTATGATTATGAAAACGTTGCATAAAGCAGTATAACTCATAGAAACTGACAAACACGATATCTCTAAGTATTATCCTTAAGTTTTATGATCATGAAAACGCATAGAAATAAGGATAACGTGTTTTTATACGCAACCATAGATGGCCGAACATACGTCAACCCTCGGAATTACTCTCTCTCTCTTATAAATAAACAAAAGATAATGAAATCATCGCCCCTATGAAATGCAAGACGTCAAATGATCATTGTCAGCTGCTGAGACAGACTTAATAAAATTCAATTATATGTTGTGTAACGCAATCATATAAATGATATTTGGAGAACGCAAAGGGTAACCAACTAATGAAAATGAATATAAAGGATGTCCATAAAGACTGAGACAGACTAATGGTATAAAATTCAATTATATATTGTGTAACACAATCATATAACTGATAAATGAAGAAAGCAAAGGGTAACTAACCAGATGCAAATAAAAATGAATATACAGGGTGTCCATAAAGACTGAGACAGACTAATAAAATAAAATTCAATTATATATTGTGTAACGCAATCACATAAATGATATTTGGAGAAAGCAAAGGGTAACTAACCAGATGCAAATAAATATGAATATACAGGGCGTCCATAAAGACTGAGACAGAATAATGGTATAAAATTCAATTATATATTGTGTAACACAATCATATAACTGATAAATGGAGAAAGCAAAGGGTAACTAACCAGATGCAAATTAAAATGAATATACAGGGTGTCCATAAAGACTGAGACAGACTAATGGTATAACATTTAATTATATATTGTGTAACACCATCAAATAACTGATATTTGGAGAACGCAAGGGTAACTAGCCAGATGCAAATAAAAATGGATAAACAGGGCGTCCATAAAGACTGAGACAGACTTATGGTATAAAAGTCAATTATATAATGTGTAACACCATCATATAAATGATACTTGGAGAACGCAAGGGTAACTAGCCAGATGCAAATAAAAATGGATAAACAGGGCGTCCATAAAGACTGAGACAGACTTATGGTATAAAAGTCAATTATATAATGTGTAACACCATCATATAAATGATACTTGGAGAACGCAAGGGTTACTAACCAGATGCAAATAAATATGAATATTCAGAGTGTCCATAAAGACTGAGACAGACTTATGGTATAAAAGTCAATTATATATTGTGTAACACCATCATATAAATGATACTTGGAGAACGCAAGGGTAACTAACCAGTTGCAAATAAAAATGGATAAACAGGGCGTCCATAAAGACTGAGACAGACTTATGGTATAAAATTCAATTATATATTGTGTAACACCATCATATAAATGATACTTGGAGAACGCAAGGGTAACTAGCCAGATGCAAATAAAAATGAATATACAGGGCGTCCATAAAGATTGAGACAGACTAATGGTATAAAATTCAATTATACATTGTGTAACGCAATCATATAACTGATACTTGGAGAAAGCAAAGGGTAACTAACCAGATGCAAATAAATATGAATATACAGGGTGTCCATAACGACTGAGACAGACTCATGGTATAACATTTAATTATATATTGTGTAACACCATCAAATAACTGATATTTGGAGAATGCAAACGGTAACTAACCAGATGCAAATAAAAATGAATATACAGGGTGTTCATAAAGACTGAGACAGACTAGTGGTATGAAATTCAATTATATATTGTGTAACGCAATCATATAACTGATACTTGGAGAAAACAAAGGGTAACTAACCAGATGCAAATGAAAATGAATATACAGGGTGTCCATTAAGACTGAGACAGACTAATGGTATAAAATTCAATTATATATTGTGTAACACAATCATATAAATGATACTTGGTGAACGCAAGTGTAACTAACCAGATGCAAATTAAAATGAATATACAGGGTGTTCATAAAGACTGAGACAGACTAATAATATAAAATTCAATAATATATTGTGTAACACTATCATATAACTGATACTTGGAGAGAGCAAAGGGTAACTAACCAGATGCAAATTAAAATGAATAAACAGGGCGTCCATAAAGACTGTTTACCATTACAATACAAAGTCTGTGTAAAGTGTAAAGATATTTTATGGACAGTCATACTCAGTATGAAAGCTTAATTAATATATTGTATGTTGTTGAAAACAATGCAGAATGCCTCCTATGCTTTGAAGGAATAATCAGCACAGATAGTACCATTGTACTTGGTTATATCCTTTAATCGACACATAGCTGATACCCTTTTTCACAACAGTTCATAAAAAGAAATCATCTTTTGTAAAATATTGAATGGTTTAATAACTATAATTTTAAGGAGGAAGTCTTGTATCAATTGCGCATTCAGTTTGCGCATGTAAAATCTCGTTCTCGCAAAAGTTCTCGCAGTGGACGAGTTTTAGCGATACTAGACTACTACCTTTAAACAAAGTTATTCATTGATTTATGTTTTCTTTGTATTTTGCTCTATTGAATGAATGCACTGGGTAATGGATGCCTTTACGGTTCCTTGCGTTCATTTTCGATTGGATATAAAAACACATGATGATGTATACTTCTACTATTCTAATACTAATAATCTGTTTATTTAAGCTTAATCGATTTATGGAACGCTATTGAAGCATTTCCATTACATGTAAATTCACACCTTTGATAGGGTTCGACATAATGGCTTTTAACGTACGTTGTCGTTTTGATCAGAAGTAAAATGACTGAGAAAACTATTAGCAGATTGGATTTTTATTAAATTGTATATGCGCCGTCGATGCAGCGGGTTGGTTTACATAAAAGCATAAGTACAATGCAATCCAATATATGATCAATCTGTGTGTCAACTTCTCATTTTCTAATATTGAATGATGAGGCAAGACAACGGGACACCGATTTAATTTTTGTACCGCCACCACAAGTGGTGATTTGTTGCTAAGGTCTCCAACGTTTTTGGACGGTGTGCAAAGGCTGGCATTCATGAACGCGTTGGTTCGATGGTTCGTGTCGTGCGGGGATTGTCTGTAGCACATGACGGGTGGTGACAATTCGCATGCATCTAACGCATCTAATAATACATCTTGAATCTCTAATTAATTTTAAATTTCAGCCTGTTTGAGGAGGCAACCCTAGTCCATTTGAAGTGATCCATGTCGTCAGTCTAAGGCTTTTTTATGGTTTAGGTGGTTTTTGCTTGTTTGAGTCAATATAAGTAAGTGTTAATTCTGACTTATCTGCTTATAATATGATTGTAATTGTGTCTCATAAGCCTTTGGAGGCTGGCCGTATAATTACGGGTGACACTGTAATAAATAAATAAATATATGCGTTTGAGGCAATGTTCACAAGTTTAACGCAACATTTGCATGTTTGAGGCAATATTTGCATGTCTGAGGCAATATTTGCATTTCTGAGTCAATAGTTGCATGTTTGAGGCAATATTTGCATGTTTGAGGCAATATTTGCATGTTTGGGGCAATATTTGCATGTTTGAGGCAATATTTGCATTTCTGAGTCAATAGTTGCATGTTTGAGGCAATATTTGCATGTTTGAGGCAATA